TTTTATTTATAAGTCATTATGTTAAGAAAAAAATTTGGTGGAAAATTATAAGCCGTACCATTTCAATGAATTATTAATCTCTTTTTAATTATATTCTTAAATATTTATTAACTTCCTGTCATACCCTAATTTTAACTCTAAGATTCCATCTCATTTACATCATTTTTGCATGACATTTAGCATTACATATGTGTTGTGTTCTTATGCATCACTAACCCATATCAAATACAAGAATGTGTGGTTGCTTGCTTTACAAGTTAGGTTGTGCTCAAGATGTTCAAGCTGATGATTAGCTAGAGATTGGTATGATGCTCAACCTCTCAAGCCAAATTCATTCAACATTGATCAAGGGTCTCCTCTCATCAATAATAAAGTGCAAGATGACGTTGAATCAAGATCAACAAGTCCCAAGTCATTTAGTGCATCCAAATTATGGTTTTGACCTGATTCAATCTCTGGGTTGACTTTTTCATCTGAGGATGATCCTATACCTCAAAATATGATTCTTTGGCAATTACAAAGTTGAATTCATCTGATACAAGGTGAAAAAATTGATCAAATAAAAGCCTGATTTTTGGCATCTTTGGTCAAAAATGACTTGCTCAAGCCAAATATCCTGAAAATATGATTGATGAATGCATTTGATCATGATCAATCAAGAAAATCAAAGAAAATATCAAAATTGTAAAATTAGGGTTTTGAGCAATTTCACTAAGTTATGAAATCCTATGATTTTGCCCTACTTCCCAAGTTCATAACTTTCTCCTCAAGCAACCATTTTCTTTGCTCCAAAGACCAAATTGAAGATCTTGCTACATACCTACAACTTTGTTCTAGGGGATAATTTCTAAAAAAATGCATGGATAAAGAGATATGAGGTCATGAAGTTGAGGGTTCACTACTTTTGGAACAAAAACACTTAAAAAAATTTTTCAATCAAATATGATTATGTCATGAAGCTAACTTTGCAGGCATTTTTCATCATGATCCCATTTGTATCAAGGAAAGTTGTCAACATGAAAGTTTTAGAGGATGTTTCAAGCTTTCCAAAGATTCAAAGAAAAAAGATTTATCTTACTTGAGCTAGAAGTTATGATTTTTCTAAGAAGCATTGATGAAGCTAAATTCAAGACAACATAGAAGTTTGAACACATTTTGACCACTTTCCCAGCCTTATCTCTGCACAAGATCAACATGAATTTTGTAGTATCACATGAGATCTTCAAGATAGTGCCAAATTTGCTGAAGTTTTATCCTTTTACATAGTAGAAAACCCAATCCAAACTTTTCCTCAGAAAAAACCAACTTGTTTTTCTATAAATAAAGGCTAATTATGATCATTTCAAACACAACAAGACCTCCAAACCTCTCCACACCATAATTGTACATTCTTGCAAATTTCAAAATCCATCAAATTAAAAACTTAAAATTCACAAACCAGTCTATAAACCTTCATTCTAACACTTCAAACACATCTTATACAACTTTTATAAGCTTATGAAACACTCTAAACATCACAAAATCATTCATTATCCAGAATTTTCATTTTCATATCACCATTGTTGCACAACTTGCAAGAACTATTGAATTCTTCATTCCAAACACTTTGCGTTCAATCTCAGCATCTAAACACATTTTGTACACTTATTAGAAGTGATCTGAAGCCTTGAAACACATCTGTAAAACCTCAATCCATAAGAGCACATATGACTTCCTTAAAATGTAGTTTGATTCAGGTAGGAAGTTCTAGAGGGTATAAGCCCAATTCAACAACTTCAACACATTCCTTAGAGGCCAAGAAAGCTTTTAGGATCATCAAATTACATCTGGAATACCTCTAAGCAGAAACACAATTTTCACTTTTAAAGGTAAGTTTCTCTTTCCAAAACTCTATGATTCATACATCATTTTGAGTCATTCTTGTTACAAAAATGTTTGTCATGCTGTAAGGATTGATTTCCCCATGTTAATTGTCATGTATAAGTAACATATATGATTTCATATTGGATATTCAGTTCTAGGATTTATGTAGTTCTTGCGTGTTAATTTAAATTATAGGCAATATAAATACAATTGGTTTATACCATTGAATTCTTGGAAAATTTTCAAACAACTTTGATGTTTACATCATCTAATTTCATCAAGAAACAAAGAAGTTAGCATTTTTAAAAATGGAGATGATGATGAACTCGTGTGAAGAAGATGATGATGCCATGGCGCGAAATTCATATTTTAATTGTTGTTTTACTATATTATATTTTAGTTGTATTATATGTATTGAATAGGCATTGCACCATGGTGTTTCGTGTGTGTGTTAGTGTGTGCTAGCGAGCTCTAGGTCTGGGGTTCGAATCCCCCTCGCCCCAAACCTTTTGTGTTTTATTTTTTTATACTTTTTCACTTGAAACCTTAATATTTTATTGCATGTGCGCATTACATTTCAACCCAAAGCATATGACCCAATGGTAAGATTTTGGGTCTGCAACCATAAAGGCACGAGTTCAAGTCCCTTTGGTGACAATCCTTTATTTCTTAACACCTAGTTTTCATGCTTTTCTTCCCATTTTCTTTCAATTGTTTCTATATGAAAAATTAATTATTTTTGAATGATTTTTTGCACACTTGTCATTTATCCCCTCTATTTTGAAAATACACCAAAAAGTACCAAAAATAATATTTTTTTCATGTATTTTTGTGTAGTTGAAAACATGTACCTTTTATGTGTTTTAAACCTTTTAAAGATGTTCTTTTAATTATTTCTTTGATCTAATTGAACATAGGTACTTATGTGGCTATAGTATGCTTTTTTTAAAATCTTGTTAATGACTTGTGCCATGCTTAAGTTCCCTTTTTTTTTTTGAAATTTTTTTTTGATTAAATGGTTTGTTTGAATGGTATCTTTAGAGTTTGTCTTGTTTAATCTTTTGAAATACTTTGATGCATGACTAGGACTTCCATTTGAATTTGGTTCCTTTAACACTTAATTCAACCATGTTAAATATATTATTCATGTGCTTACCTTGATTAATATGTGAAACTTGTTTACATGATCAAGTATTTCCTTCATAAACTCTCTTTAGGGTTTTGCTTTTGCCTTACCATGTTCATCTAATCCATGATTCATATACTTGTTTAAACTTGTTTGTGATGTTTCAAATTGATTAAATCTTTTCTCACATGTTCAAGTATTTCCTTCATAAACTTCCACAATGTCAAACATGTCTATTTGTCTTATGGTTTGCCTATTATACACATGTCTTGATATCATGCTTAATTATACTTGTATATTCACTTTATTCTTGATGTTATGCTTGTTATACAAATTTATCTATTAAGTTCCTCTTGACATTAGTATTTATGTTCATCATCCCCTCACTCCTTGTTTAGACTTAGTTCAAACATTAGAATCCCCTCAAAAGTTCAACTTCAAACTCAAAACTCTTTTTCAAGAGATTAAACATGAGTCATCTCTATAGAAGAAATGCTTCTTCTATCCCCACAATATAAATCAAACTTTTGAAACTTTTGAAAATTTATCTTTCGCTTAAGTGATGTAAGTGACCTACATGTTGATTTTATATCCAAGTTGATGTCCCTCTCTTATTATGGTACAGAGACAGTCTTTCATTTAAGTGATGTAAGTGACATACTTGTTGATTCTATATCCAAGTTGAAGTCCTTCTCTTATTATGCAAATATCCATTTATCTTTCTATGTTTGTGGTGGTATAGCTAAGTAGTCCCTCTTAAACATGACAACTTGTTTTTTTCTCCTAAAAACCCAATAAACATTGCTTTTACTCGTAGTTCCCCGAACTACAAAATTCTATGACTTCCTCTAGGGATATGTAGGCATAAGATTGCGAGATCCTAGAAAGCACACCTTTTTATTTTCACCCCCTTTTATTTATATACATTACAAAAACTACAAAATATTTCTCACTCCTATCACTCACTCAAAAACAGTCAATTATCTCAATCAATAGCAAATTACTTAAGCAAATAACACAAATATTTTAAGAGGTTCCTATAAGATACTATAGATACTTAGGATGCTAGTATCTTTCTTTTGTATAACCAACCCTCGAATCTTAGATCTCTTATTGCATTGTTTCACATTCCATATTTATGGGTTATTCTTTCTTTACCCTTTTCCTTGGATAAATTAAATTCCGGTGACGATGTTTTGAATTGCGAGTCAAGTTAATTTAATAGTTTGGTCTCCCGATTCACCAAAAAACGCATCATACCTCCTTCTTTAAATTTATGTTTTTTTGTATAACTAAGGAAAGACAATTATATAAAATTATTTGTAATTTCTCTTTTTCATACAATAATAATTTTTTTTAAGAAGATGTTGAAACGACTTGTGATAAAAATGGAGGTTGTAATAAAAATAATTAAATAAATTCCACTATATTGTAACCATATAAAAGTGATAATCTTTATTATTTATTTATTTTTTCAAATTTTCAAATTTCTTTTTTTATATCCTTATTGAAAGATAATATAGCAATATAATTAAAAAAAAAATTCTTTTTCCTATACAAGAATCTACATTACTTAATTTTTATATAATTTTCTATAATGAAATATATTTTAAAACTATATATATATATATATATATATATATATATATATATATATATATATATATATATATATATATATATATATATATATATATATATATATATATATATATATATATATATATATATATATATATATATATATATATATATATATATATATATATATATATATATATATATATATATATATATATATATATATATATTATCAATTACATAAAATAGTATACTTAATAATAAATTATTTTCTTTAAGAAAAAGAATAAAAAATAATTTAAATGGTGATACAATCTTTTTTTTATGAATATGCAAAATTTGAGAAGAATATCGTCATGCTGAGAGAGTGGGAGTCAATGTTAGAAACAATAGAGTTGAGATGAAAGATTTTGCCTCCTTCATTGATTTAATGGAAGTTATTGATCTTCCCATCATTGGAAATCAATTTACTTGGTTTAGTTCAGATGGGAAACCAAAGAATAGGTTGGATCGTTTTCTTGTGTCTAAAGGTATTATCGATTCTTAGAAGTTAGTTGCACGGGAAATTGGTTGCAGGGATGTATCAGATCATTGTCCAATCTCGATTAAAGGAAGGCAATTGAATTGGGGCCCCACTCCCTTTAGATCAAACAACTGTTGGTTTGAAAATAAACATTTCTTAACATTGGGGAAAAATAGTGGAAATCATACCATTTAATAGATAAGAAGGCTTTCATCATGAAGGAAAAAATCAAACTGCTAAGGGCGAGCCTGAAGAAGTGGAACAAAGAGGTCTTTGGTTTTCTTGACCTCAAGATTGAGAAGGCAGTGAAGGATCTCAACACTTTTGACAGCATCATCAACTCATATTCTTCCACAGACACTATTGAGGAAAGGAAGGAAGTCCAACAATTTATATGGAATAACTTAAATCTAAAGGAAAGTTTATTAAAATAGAAGTCAAGGTAGAAATGAATCAAGGAGGGGGACCTTAACTCAAGATTCTTTCATAGTATGTTGAGTTTGAGAACAAGGAGGAATAATATTGTTGCCCTTGTAACTGACAAGGGGAGGGTGGAGGATGTTGACTTTTTGGTGAAAGCCGTTGCCAAAGACCATTTTCAAGAAAGGTTTACTAAACAAGGAGGCTACAAACCAACTTTGGAAGGAGCAGATTTCAAATGTTTGACTGATGCTGATAGAATTATCTTGGAAGAAGGATTTTCTAGATTTGAAATCAAGGGTGTAGTTTGGGATTGTGATGGTGACAAAACTAGAGGTGGCAATGGAATCCATTTAGATAATATTTATCCAATCCATCCAATAATTTATCCATTCAATCCATCCATAAGACAAAAAATAATTTAATGGATTTGATCCAATCCATCCACTAACTCATATGGATGGATTCAATCTATCCATCTCATTTTATAAATCCATTGGATATTATGTTGTCACTTATTAAATTAAGAACTTTTAAATTAATTTTTTGGATGGATGAATATCCATCCATTAGAAATATGTTAATGGATGGATTGGATGGATTTTATCTTTTAATGGATGGATTGGATTGGATTTTTATTAAGAGAGTTTAGTGAATTGTTAATGGATTAATGGATTGTTTTGATCCATCCATTAACAATCCAATTCATATCCATATAATCCATTCATTTTTCCACCCCTAGACAAAACCATGGCATAGATGGGTTTAATATCACGTTTGTAAAGAAATGTTAGGATATTTTGGTTGAGGAAATCATTGGTGCTACTCAAGAGTTCCATGCCACTGTTGTTCATCCCAAAGCTATAAATGCTTCATTTTTTACACTCATTCCCAAAATCCAAAATTCACAAAAGATTTAAGACTTTAGACCAATTTGTCAAATTGGTTATATATACAAAATTATGGCAAAAAGCCTGGCTAATAGAATAAAGAAGGTTATTGGTAGCTTAATTTCCAAGTCTCAAACTGGTTTCATATCAGGAAGTCAAATCCTTGATGGGGTGTTAGTCACAAATGAGGTTATTGATTTTAAAAATAGGAGGATAAAAGAATGCTTGTTATTTAAGGTGGATTTTGCACCTGTATATGACAATGTGAACTGGGAGTTTTTGAGATATATGCTTAGCAGGTTGGGTTTTGGCAATAAATGGTTGAGTTGGATGGAAGGTGGGGTGTTCAACAACAACATTTCCATCCTAACCAATGGTAGTCCAATAGTAAATTTTGTTGTCTCTAGGGGTTTGAGGAAAGGTGATCCTCTATCACCCTTTTGTTTTGCCATTGTTGATGAAGGGTTGGCTAGAATTATGAAGAAGGCAGTGGATATCAATTTTTTTCCAGAGAATTCAAGTTGGATGCAGAAACATGTGGAACTTCCTTTAGTATTTTTCAATTTTTAGATGATACAATTATAATTGGAGATGGATCTTGGAGTAATTTGTGGGCCATAAAGTCGATATTAAGAGGGTTTGAGATGGTTTTTGGTCTAAGGATTAACATGAACAAAAGTAAATTATATGTCATTGGTTTGTCCTCTCAATTTATGTTGGCAGCTTCTAACTTCCTTTTCTGTAGCATTAATAGAATCCATTTCAAATTCTTGGGGATTAATATTGTAGTTGATCCAAAGAAAGTTGAGGCTTAGAAGCACATCATCTCAATTTTGAAGAGCAAGTTATCTAGTTGGAAGAGCATATTCTTGTTTATGGATGGCAGAATCACTATTTTGAATTTTGTCCTTAATAACCTACCAATCCATCATATATCCTTCTTTAAGATTCCTGACAAGGTGAAGAAGGAAATTATTAAAATTTAAATACAATTTCTCTAGCATGGGATGAAAGATGGTAAGGGTGTAAATTGGATTAGTTGGCAAACTATTTGCAAAAGCAAGGCTGAGGGTGTTCTAGGTGAGAAGGAGGAAATTGGGAGATTGAATGAGGCTCTGTTGTGCAAATGGATATGGAGGATCTTCAAAGAAAAAAAGGTCATTTGGAGTGGAATCATGTTACATAGATATGGAGACATCATAAGGAGTTTATGGTTGGATGAAGATAAGTATCAATCCTCAATGCAATCCTTATGGTGGAGGGACTTAATGCTCATCGACAAGAATTTGAAGAGATGTGTTGATGACAAGGTGGGCATTAAGCATCTTGCTAAGTTTAGGATTGGAAATGGAGCATCAATTCCATTTTGGAAAGGAATCTGGATTGGCACAATTACATCATTGGAAGACGACTTTCTTGTTTCGCTCAGACATGTTGAAAACAAAAAGGCTATGATAAGTGATTTTGGTGAGTGGATTAATGAGAGCTGGCTGTGGAGACTTGAGGGGATAGGAACCAATGGTGATCCAAATCATTCTGAGGAGTTACAATACCTTAAGCTGATTGTGGAAGACTTCACTCCAAATATCATGGAGGTTGACATGATCAATTGGGTGGATGCACCTCTGCAACATTTTTCTATCAAATTGTGCTATGAGAATTTGAAGGGTCAAGATATGCAACTGGAAGGATATGACAGCTTGAATTCAATATGGATAAAGTTGTAGAAGATGAAGGTACCTTCTAAGGTGAATGCTTTATGTTGGAGATTGATACACAAATAGGCTTCCTACTAGACAACAGCTCCTCAAAAGAAGTATCATCCAAGATGCAAATCTGGCCAATTGTGCCTTTTGTAATGCTGATGTAGAAACTATTGATCATTTGTTGATTCATTACCCTATCACAGTGCTGGTTTGGAATTATGTTTGAGAATTGATTCGTCTGCCTAGGCCAATTCCATATGACTGTACCATGGATTTCAAACATGTGATGGAAGTATTCAAAGGGAAGGTAGAAAAATATTGTGAAGGATTCTTGTGGATGATATCATGCTAGTGCATTTGGAATAAGCGAAACGCCATGATTTTCAAAAAAGATAGATGTCATGAAAGGGATATCGAATTTAACATCAAATTCCTCTCTTAACTTTGGCTTGGTCTTCTAAAAAAAATCATATTGTTGTAACTTTTTTAAATGGTGTAAAGCACCACTAGATTTCCTTTTGTAACTCTTTTGTAGATTATTGTTGGTTTGTGGTTTGACTCACTCCACTTTAAAAAACTGTTAGATTCTTTTTATATGTTATAGAGGATTGAGTACCTCTTATACTCACTTACATAAACATTTGCTTATAAAAAATACCTTTAGGGTGTGTTTGGTTCGGGGTAGATGGAGGGGAGGGGAGGGGAGGGGAGGGGAAATTTTTAATTAAATATGTTTGGTTCAAATTTTAGGAGGGGAGGGGAGGGGAGGGGAGGGGAGCAAAATCCCTCCAAAACACACTTTTTGGTTCCCTCCGAATTGGGGGGATTTGGAGGGGAGGGGAGGGAATATTAGTTTTGATATTTAAAAATTATTATATTTACTAAAATATCCTCGGTTTATTATAATTGTTCTTCACCTTCAAATTATTTGTTTTTATCAATTTATTATAATTGTTCTTCACCTTCAAATTATTTTATAATTTTTATAATTAATATAAATCATAATCATTGTCTTTTTTTTTATAAAAAAAATTATGTTTCGTTATATTCATTTTTTTCTTTTAATTTTGTTATGTACTCTATCATATTTTCTTTTATATCAAATTGTAAACCATATCATTTTATTTATTTTTGTTTATTCATTTTATTAAATATTTTGAACCATTAATATTTAGTAATAAGTTATTTTATATATTTGTTTTGTTATATGATTCATCACAATTTAAACGTTATTGGCATATAGTTTAATTTATGTTGGAAAGTTATAAGTCGAATCGATTGTACTCAATTTTTTTAACTTTAGTGACAAATAAATATTTTTTTAATCACTCAATATTAGAAATTTTATTATCAACAAAAATACGCACGAATTTTTCACATTTTAATATCATATGACTTATATAAGATCATAAGGATAAAAATGTAAATTATTAATAAAACCCCTCCACTCCCCTTCTGAACCAAACACATTTTTAATTAAAATCCCTCCCCTCCCCTCCCCTCCTCTCTTTTGAACCAAACACTTATTTGATTAAAAAATTCCTTCACCTCCCCTCCCCTCCCCTCCCCTTCATTAAAATCCCTCCCCTCCCCTCTCTTTTGTAACTCTTTTATAGATTATTGTTGGTTTGTGGTTTGACTCACTCCACTTTAAAAAACTGTTAGATTCTTTTTATATGTTATAGAGGATTGAGTACCTCTTATACTCACTTACATAAACATTTGCTTATAAAAAATACCTTTAGCATGTATTGGAACAAGTTTACAATTTTATATAAAAAAACCTAATTGAATGATCATTATTTTAAATTTGCTTACCCTTTCTAACATTAGCTTTTAATTATTATTGGACCGGCACTAAATAATAAAAATATAATAATAAGAAGTTTTTTAAAAGAAAAAACTTTACAATTGAAATAAATTTATTAATTTTATTTAAGTTAATAATATAATAAATAAAAAATGTATTAGAATATTCATAAAAGAGTTTTAAGTGGCGACACAAATTTTTTAATTCTTAACTTTTAGTTTTTCAATTTATATTAATAAAAAATAAACATAATATTTTTTAAAAAATATTTAAAGTAACTTTTGAACATGTAATTTTTAGTTTATAATTTTTTTTCTTTTATTTTTACTCATATTAATTTAACAAAAACTCAGTATTATCTTTTATATT